TTTCTTTCTTTCTTTCTTTCTTTCTTTCTTTCTTTCTTTCTTTCTTTCTTTCTTTTTTGTGCCTTCAAGTCAGCATTGACAAGTCCCTGCAGTTTTCTTGGCAAGATTTCAGAAGTGGTTTGCCCTTTCCTCCTTCTTCCTAGGGCTGAGTGAGAGGGACTGGCCAAGGTCACCCAGCTGGCTTGGTGCCCAAGGAGGGACTAGAACTCACCATCTCCCAGTTTCTAGCCGGGTGCCTTCACCACTGCACCATGCTGGCTCTCAACAAGATTTACTCAAAAATATTTAAATATTTAAATATTCATATGCTTGTTCTTAATTTTGTTTTTAAAGGTCAACATATTTTGATATAAAAAGGCCCCAGGCATGAGGTTTGAGTCCAGACTTTTTCAAACTCAGGGAGTGAAAGCACCCAACCTATGGTTCACCTTGTTTAATACCATTTTTGAAAAAAAAGGCCACGTTTAAAATTCTGCAAAGTAAAATAATTATTTCTTGCTTCCTGTGCCTCTTCATCAGGATACTGATGTGGGGAACACATACCCTTGCTGTCGTATCATTAATAAAGGAACAACACGCACCTTTCCACAAAGATCCCAGCTTGTACAGCATGCACGATGCTTCGAAATTTTGGCTTTTCCTCTGGCCTCCTTTTTGTCATCCCCATTTTCCTTGTGAAGGTAGACGCTAACCAATCTCGTACTTCCAGAGGAACGGAATCGGATTGGATATCTGATAGTTCATCCTCTGTATCCAACAACCTCCTGTAAATGCATATGCAAAAGACAGCACAAATGGGAAAACAAGGACCAAACATTCAAGACTCTTAAGTAATTGGAACTATGTCTCAACTTCCACCCAGTAGCATTCCTTCCACATTACCATAAAACAGTGCAGGCGATCATTGCTCTATTTGATAGAGTGCTACTTTATACCAATCAACATCATGGATTCATCTACCACTTTATTTATTTATTTATTTATTTAATTTATATTATTATTTATTATATTATCTATGTATATAAATAAATAAATAAATATTGTCTGTTTAAAAAATTAGCACTTCAAGCTCATGGAAGTACTTTGTTTTTTTACTAGAGCTTCAAGGGCCATAAACTAGAGACAAGAGCAAAATAGAAGCTGGAATTTGGAACAGAGTTGGAAGCAAAATGGTGATTCATTAGTAGAGCCAACATCTACTGTACTTTCCCTCCTCTTCTCCCAAAATGAATCTGCATGTACGGACACAAATCTACATCTGAAGTTTGGTACATGCTAGCCCTTTGAGTTAGGCCAGATCAGGAAACAGACACCACAAAGATTATAGGAATCCTATTTTATTGTTGTAGGGTATAATAACAGAATTGCCAGAGTTTCTCTCTACTCCAACTTATACCAAACAGAATTAAGTCAGGTTATTTTGAGTTCTTTCCCATGCTTTCAATTTTCTCAGGATTGAGTTATAATTTTTCCTTCCTTAATGGCTCATCTACTCCTTCATGAAGGTTATCTTCACATTCCTTTACAGTATATCAGGCTTTCTGTTACAATTCTCTAAAACTGCACAGCAGAATAATACAAGTTCCTTATTGAAATAACACAATAGATACCTTTATTTTATGTGAGCAACACTGTCAGAGATATTTGATTATTACAAGGTCAATTATCAGTATGACCCACAACTTCACTTGCAATTTTGAAAGACTGGGAGCAGAAGTCATTGCAGATTTATTGCCAAACATCAAGTGTAGACTCTGATTAATTCTGTCAATCTCTTGTCTACCTTGACTGGCTCCAGGGTTTCCAAAAGGGGTCCTTTGTTACTAAGAATCAACCTGAAATTTTGGTATAAAAACTACATGGACTATTATTCAGCTTGTGATCAAGACTGAAATGGATCCTAGCTCTACAGATTAGGAATTAAATGCGGTATCCCACCTTACGTGGTTGCAACAGAAAAAAAAGTATGTGACACTCTTCACCAGAATTTTTGTTTGGCCAATAGCCATATTCGTGTTTCAACTGTGAGAAGTCCCTCAGTAAATCAAACAGATAAGTCTTTTTGAGAACTTCTGCTCCTTTTGCCACTTGTATCTCTCATGTATTTCTTTTTTTAAAAAATAATGTTATTGAAGTTTTTAACAAGCGTAATAAAACTAGTACAAACTAAACTAAAACAAAAAAGAAAAAGAGAAGTTCAGGAGGTGCAGAAAAAAGAAAAACAAAAGGAAAAGGAAAATAGTAGAAGGAAAAAGGCAACAAAGACAATAATAAAAAAGTGGCTTCTAACCTTCATCCCACCGAGCATAAGCTAATATAGTAACTTTTCATCCTCTTTTAAAGTTACAATAAAAAAACCCTTCTCCCCATAGTCTGTTATCTATACACAATCAAAAAATCGTCATCTTTTCAGTCCTAGTTCAGCAAAAAGTCCATTAGGAGTTACCAGAAATATCAAACAAATAGTTTATCCCTGATCAAATAGCCCAACTTTATATTCCTTCTATTTGCTCTTCACAATCTTGACCTTAAAATCATTCCAATGGCATCACAGTATTTGATCTTTCATCAGTCTTTGGCATTCAGGAGGAGTCTTCAAAGCTTTCACCAGCCTACTTTTTAAATCCTATAAAGAGGCATCATCCAGGATTTCTTGTCACAGCTATTCCATGTTCAGATCCTCTTCTTGATTTGTCTTTTGTATTTACATTTTGGTAAATTCAATTTTGTTGTCTTCCATGTCTCCAAACCCTATTTCAGGGAAAAGTTTTTAAAAGTTTTTCTCATTATCTTCTACAAGTTTATCCATTGAAATCTGTATCCTTTCTGAGATATTAGTTATTAATATCTCAGTCCAGTTTTCAAAAAACTCTTTAAGATGAGTTTAGTTCTGTTTCAGTCATTTCCCATGAGCATATTATTTAATTATATACTTGTTTTACAAATCTTACAGCAAAAATAGCCAATATTCCAAATCTCTTTGGTTTCCCAATCCATTTAAAACTTTCTTAAATCAACCCCCCCC